GTAGAGACGCATAGGGTGGTCATTTTGAATCTGGGTAATTTTGTTATGTTGCTAAGACTATTGTGCTCCTTCAGTTGCTAACTTGTTGTTCAGGGGTAAATATTAAAAGAGCTGCTGCAAAAATGCTGATGGACAGGACTTTCTGGTCACCCTGTATATGTGTTGTCCCATGAGCCTTACGTTTCATTTCTCGCTGTGAGAGGCATGGATCTACAAAGTACAAGGACGTATCTCCACCTTCTATCCGAGCGAGACAATCCTGAAGAACTAAAGTGCAAGCTATCTCCTCCGATCGTCTTTCACGCGTCTCTGCCTTCAGAGATCGAAATTACGGAAGTCGAAACGAGTGATGAATTCCTCGTCCTCTCTTCCCGCTATGGCGAGAACTAGCTGAGAATCTCTTTGAGATCGAGGGGACAGCATACCGATTTTTTCATAGACTGTCGTTATGACTCGGATGTGAATGTCATTATTGGACAGATAAACGAGAGCTTGAAAATTCAGTCCACTTACAAGGAAAGCGCAATGGGCAAGTTTGAATGGCTACGAAGAGTGAATCGCATCAGATTGTCATACTTTAAGACATACGTGCTTCATCATGATGATGCAATAACTTTTGGAAGCAATATTGCTCGAGTTCTGGGATTTGTGGCTGGCAAAGAATATGCTTGTCAAGAGGAACACTTGGCAGAAAATGCACCGGATTTTCAGTCGACCTTTAAACTCACATGCAACATTTCCGCACCAGTCTATATCGATGGAAAGATCAGTCCTTCCCTTCGTCTCATTTCTCCCTCTGAATTCGGGAAAAAGGTCCGCTTCAATCCGGTGTATTACAGACCTCTTGCAGTGAAAGTAATTGGGGATTTATATATTCGAATTGTTGATCAGGATGAGAGGACAATACTTTTCCCACCTAATTCGTTTTCTCGTATCGCGCTGCACTTGCGAATAGCTACTTTCTAATGTTCGTGACCTGAAAAGATCATCGCCGAAATTCACATTGTTTCGGGAATAAGTGAATGAGTGGTATTCGGATTGTCTCTCATTTCCTCTCGATACATGTTAGTGACAACACCTTACCCCTAATCACGTGCTTTCTCACTGAGGATTGAATAACGTTCCTTTCATTCCCCCCAGTACCGATGAGTTTCGACAACTCCTGTCTGGAACGTTTTCATCTCCTCACCGACAGTACGGTAGTGGAGGAGGTCACACGGTCAAGTCTTTTCTGTCTCCTTCGAGGACTCACGCGTTGCCTCTTTCGTCGTTGGGGTCATTACATCCGCCAACGAAGAAGGCGAAAAGAAAGGAAAACAAAAAATCAAAGTTGAAGTTGAAGCAGGTGAAACAGCATAAAACTGTTTCGAGAAAAAAGAAGGGAGTAAAATCTATAAAAGGGAACATTTCTAAACGAGCTATGCAGTCAGGGACTGGTAATCGACGTCGACACAAGAAGAAAGTTGTTTCTAATTCGTGCAAGGCACGGGATATTTTCGATTGAGTTTCACCATTATATTACTTACACCCCATTCCTTTCATATGGCTAATTCAGGCTATTACCTTCCGATTTCGGGGAATATTACATCAATCTCATCACGGTTTCCCAACCTAATTTTCACCGAAAGTTCGATGAGAGTATCACCGGCTGGAGATGTGAACGCTATCTACCGAGTAATGCCATCCCGTCGCAAACTAGTAATAACAATCAAGACCGTTATTTGGATTTCATCATTCCACCATGCGACGATCTGATTGACGTAGAATTCGTCTTATGTATTTCGTGTACCGTTCTGAGAGGTGACAATACCAAAATGAACCCTATCGGATCCGAAGATAACGCGGGAATATATTAAACCGCCAGAATGCTCTCCAGTCTCTGTTTTCCAGAGTTGAACTTTTCTGGAATGGGGTGGTTGTAAATGAGAAAACGGAAACTTATCCAATCAGCTCCTTCCTTCATCGCCTTGTGAAGATGAATCACAGAAAAAATTACATGGGCCAGGGCCAGTGGGTGGTACGATTTTGAATTGAAAGAAACGGATGTTATCGATGCTGAATTACTCGACGACTGGCAACGTAAACGGTGGTTCGGAAGTTCCACTGTGGAATTAATGTAAAAACTGGACTTGGACTTGTCAACATGCCCGTTTGCCATCTTGCCCAAAAGTGAACTTCGCTTACTTTTGACGAGAAGTTCCAATGTGTTTTTCATTATATGTCTCAATTATCTGTTGAAGGATTCGAACTTAAAACTGGTTTTGCAAAGTGCAGAGCTGTATGTGAAAAAGTTGACACCTGTTCCCTCGGCGCATCTGGCATTGGAGGCTGCACTGAGTGAATCCGTATTGCATTATCCCATGGAGAGAAGAGTTTTAAAAACACACGCACTCCTTAAGGGAATTAATAGTTACCATTGCGAGAATGTATTCGGTTCTTACATTCCAAAGAGAATGGTTCTGGCTTTGTTTAGCGAAACTGCACTTATGGGCGACTATGGGCTGGATCCGCTCATGACTGCGCATGCTTTCTGCAACAATGTGTCGGTAACGATCGATGGGATAACGATGTATCAAAAGAGTGTTAAAAGATTGTGTCGGGGGTGTTGTGGATGTAGTGAAGGCTGAAAGAGAGGTGACCTTATTTCTGCGCCCCACTGGGGGCACAGTTGGGCTCAGGAGAGAGATGCTAGTTGCATGGTTAAGAAATAACTCATGTAAAATTTTTACATGGGTAGGTGAAGGAGGAACTGAAGAAATACTTTTGTCTGCTATGAAGACTGCAGAAGAAATACAAGCAAATTAGTAAGCTCATCACAAATCTCTTCCCACATTCCATTTCACATTTGAAATAATTAATATACCTTTCATTTGCAGTTATGATGAAGATTTGGATGTTGCAGAGGAAGAGGGAGGAGGAAAAAGTTTTTAAAAAATTAAATAAATTCCCCCATCATTCCACTGTTCCTTCATGAATAAAAATCAGAGTAATCTACCATTGATATTCACTTTTTAAAAAATACAAATGCGTTACAAATGTAACCAGAGATGTGTTTAACACATCCTGTCTTTCACATGGAGACACTCATGGCCAGCGTCATTCAAGCTTTCTCCCGTGACAGCTTTTTATCTTGGATCATTTATTCATACTTCTGTTCTTTACTAGGATCATGTACGTCATCAGGGTGCACTCTGCAGAGGAGATAGATGATGCGATGGTGCTGTTATCAGTACTGGCGCATGTTAAATTGGAGGTGATATCTCCACATACTATCGTACTCAGACTCGAAGGAGATAATCGACTCCGGAAGAAGACCATTGAAGAGAAACTCGGGAGCCTAAGTTAGTCCGTGAGATGGCATGCAGACGACGCGGACATCGAAAAATGTATCAAGACCGAGGAAGTCCGAGCTAAATATAATGTTGTCTGGTAATACCATTCCATACCTCATACAATTTTAAAAAATCCCTGTATGCATTTTTCATCAGAGAAACACGCATTCTTTCCAACCATATTAGTTAACTATTTCACTGTAATAATATTTTGATATGTTCCTCGCTGTATATTTTTCTCATTCTCTTCACTGAAACGATAGAGGCTGAAGAGAACCAATTTTCCCAGACCCCTACTCCTGTTCCGACTACATGACTTCATATCCCTTCAAAAGTTCTTCCGCTCTCAAAAACTCACGTTTGGATTGCTTCCATTCACATCGCAATCATCATTATCAATATATTTCATCAGAGACACACGCATTCTTTCCATCCATATTAGTTAACTATTTCACTGAAATAATATTTTGGTATGTTCCTCGCTGTATATTCTTCTCATTCTCTTCACAGAAACGATAGAGGCTGAAGAGAAACAATTTTCCCAGACCCCTACTCCTGTTCGGACTACCTGACTTCATATCCCTTTAGAAGTTCTTCCGTTCTCAAACACACATTTGGATTGTTTCCAAGCAATCATCATTATCAATACCTTTCAATACTTTCCCTTGTTCTTCGTATATCGTGACTATTGAGGTAGAGATTGGCAATGAGTGAATTGTAATAAAGTTTCCTTTTTTCCACAAATGCATATTTTCTAGTCTTATTTGGATGCTCCCCCTCCTCCACACGTCCGGGACCGTTCGTGAAACGCGATACTGTCAATGGGTTCTGTATAGTTTCTTTCACGAAAGTCACGCTGCCCCCCCCCCCCCCTTCCGACTCAGGCTTAATGATTGTCAGGAGCCATGGATGTAAACAGTGTAGTGTGAGGGAAAAGAGAAGACAAGAGCAAAGAACTATAAATACATCATGGGGAACTCGCCCCGACTCCCCTTCCCATCACGTCCTTGACCGTCAGGGTCCAAGGCTGTAAAAGCAGAAGAGCGTGACGGAAGAAACCACCAGAATCATTACTCATAGGAGATAATGTGTCCAAACACGTTGGCGTAATCGATTCTTCCATCCGACCCTATCGATTACCATGATGTGAAGCCGTAATGACGAGAGTCAATGAAACTGGGATTTTATGCCGCGAGATTCATGCCATAATACTTTTAAAATCGAAAAATCACTTCATAAAGGCACATGGATAATGCAAATCATCGTGCAACCGATAATTCAACGTTATTTCACGGAGTACTCGTGTAAATCGATGATAACCTGAGGTTAATTCATATGAAATTAGGGTTATATAATTAATAAGATATTGCTCCAGGCAGCTCCAGGCTGCTCCAGGCTGCTCCAGCCCGCAGAACATACCTTTTTTATACTACTACTAATAGCAAATAAATTCATTCATTGAATGGAATCAACACCAGATCGGTGTTGGTAGAGTGAGGATGCATGTTCACCGTTCATTTTCTAACAGATGCATACAACAGATAAAACAGGGGAAAATAGCAACGAAACGTATACCGCGGACTAGAATGAGCTCCAAAATCTTGTCTGAAAAGGATGTTCCAGGAGACGAGCCATTTTGGAGATGCTCGAGAGAGTATGAACGTTGCTTGACCTCTCTCCTCCTGATGGAGGAGGGAGTATAAAACTAAAATGAAGGCGCACAACTTCAACATACGTATATTCCACCAGTTAGGGTGGAATCTAGACGAAAAATGATATCTGAAAGTGATTTTTCGTTAAGCATGACATTGTGAAGATGTAGGTGAGAGAAGGACGGCGTCTGATGGAAAGCAAGGTGCATGATAGAGGCATTATCTCTTTCGTACATTTATCTGCTTCAAGTATGGTCAAAAAGCGAAAGAAATATATACCGCTAGCTAGGGCGAACTCCGGACGACAAAACCTTTGGGTAGAACTTTTCATGAACGTTTTAAAGGAGTGAGAAGCGAGGCAGCTTTCCACAGCCCATTATTGAGTATGGGAGCACGTGGCATTGTTTCCCGAATTCAACGGCTCCCAGTCCACGGCCAATCAGGTAGCGCTAACGTCGTCTGCTTTTGCGCGGAATTCGTCAAGCATGACATTGTCATGATGTAGGTGGGAGAAGGACGGCGTCTGATGGAAAGCGAGGTGCATGATAGAGGCATTATCTCTTTCGTACATTTATCTGCTTCAAGTATGGTCAAAAAGCGAAAATATATATATACCGCTGGCTAGGGCGAACTCTGGACTACAAAACCTTTGGGTAGAATTTTTCATGAACGTTTTAAAGAAGGGAGAAGCGAGGCAGCTTTCCACAGCCCATTATTGAGTATGGGAGCAGGTGGCATTGTTTCCCGAATTCAACGGCTCCCAGTCCACGGCCAATCAGGTAGCGATAACGTCGTCTACTTCTGCGCGGAATGAGAAGCGAGGCAGCTTTCCACGGCCCATTATTGAGTATGGGAGCACGTGGCATTGTTTCCCGAATTCAACGGCTCCCCGTCCACGGCCAATCAGGTAGCGCTAACGTCGTCTGCTTTTGCGCGGAACTTGAACTCCGTATTTTCGAGTGTTCTCAATCCGACTGAGCGTGGGAAAGGAAGGGGAACGGATGCATAGGGAACAGTGGCATAACCAGGATTTCGCAAAATGGGGGGGCTAGGTGGAACGGTGGGNCTGCAACCAAGGGTTGGGGAGATACAGATTTTCAAAGAGAGGCATGCAAATCGTGACCTTTGACCATTCGCCACGGTCAGGTGCTTGACCTGAGAGTGCCAAAAAGTGGCTCCAAGGCCCTCCCTTGGGGTCCTCTACAATAATTATAAGCCAGAATTTGTCGATTTCCATCTTCCCTTAGTACCTTAAATCAACATCACGTCCGTTATGCGTGGGCCAATTTCTTTTTCTGCCCGCTTCGCTAGGATATTAAAAATTTTTTGAAATCGTTACGTCTCCAAGAAATCCGCCCCCAAAAATGTTTTGGGAATTTGACATTTGACATACGTGCTCAGTGCTTCACCAGTCACGCTTTTGCCATGTTACAGCTTCCCATGTGTCTCCGTTTGATTGAATCAAAGAGAACAATGTGAAAATATATTCCCCGAAAAGGTGTGCCCCTATGCCGTGTATCACCAAAGTGGAATTTTTCCTGAACTCAGCCTGTGAATATAACTTATGTCAGTCAGTCAGCTACTCACGATCGTCTATATATAATATGAAGTAGAATTATTTCTTTGCTCAGCTATTCATTAGGCCAAGTTTTACGTTCCTTGCGCCCTCAGTTTCGCTGGATCAGAAAATTCGGGAAAAAATGCGCCTTTTGCAAAATATGTGGCCTCACCCGTTTTAACCGAAAAGTACCACTTTTACTGAAATCAAACCTCAGTGAACTACATCCCCACAAAGTATGAATATTATACGTTTGCCCTTTTCACTGGTGAAAAAAATGCTTGGAAAATCCGACCCACCCAAAAGCTATGCCCAGAGGGGATGCCGCATGAAAGCTGAATACTCCCTCAGCTCCGTAATATCATGTCACTTAAAAGTGTGCCAAGTTTCACCTTTCCATTTCTGTCCAATTCGCCACAACAATTTTTTTTCAAAACATCGCCCCTCGAAAAAATTCCCCCTGGGGATGTATCGAGACCTAACATTTTTATTTAACTCTTAGTCTCCGTAGTCACATTCATGCAAAGCGTCAGCTTTCCATGTTGATCAGTTTAACTGATGCAAAAAAAAATAATTGAAAACATCTCCCTTTGAATGTTGTGCCCCCTGGGTACTTACGTCCAAAGTCTGACGTTTTCTGCAGCATCCCAATTCCATCAATACATGGTTCAAAGTAGAAAGGTGTGATCGAGTTATCCGGTCCTGTTTTTCTTTATGAACCTTTTCAGCTTAGTGTTTTTATAGCCCCCAGGGCATGGATATAAAATTTTGCATTTTTCCTGAACTCATCGTCTCTGTAGGTACGTCCATGCTTGGTTTCAGCTTTCCATGTCACTCCGTTTTACTCAAGCAAAAATAATGTTTCGGAGGGGGAATAAGTAACGGCACATGGAAGGCGAAAAAAAGCCAAACGAAAACCAAGGAATGGCCAGGAATTGTACCTGGCCCTTCTGATCGTCAGCTAGAGTTGCTATTACTACACCACCGAATCCAGCACAACCAGTTGACTCTCTGAATGCCATCCTAATCTGTCACAAAATACTGTATATTTAAGAAAAACTTTTCCCTAAAAAATTTGTGTCCCAGTGCATGTACCTCCAATTCTGCATCCTAATAGGTACATGTGTACCAAGTTTCAGATTTCTAACCCTTCTAGAACATGGTTAGAATTAGCGTCAGTGAGTCAGTCAGTCACGATCCTCTATATACAGTATATTAGGTGCTATAGGCTTAGCCTTGGCCAACCCAGAATTCGTGGATGTCCTACACAGGTTGGGGTATCCGTCTCGCTCTCAAGCGAGGAATTTCTTTCGAGTCTTCGCGCCTGTCGGATTCGTTCTCGAGAACGGGAGAGAGAGCGGCTGCGGAATAGAATGTACAAGTGCTGACTGAAGCAGACTCCCAACTATGTTCAGGACCATAGAGAGGGGGGTGGCCAAATGGGCGACTTGCCCCGTGTTCCTTGCCTGGGGGTGGCCAGGGGGGGGGGGGGGGACCGACCACACCGGATGATGTACTGCACGGATGTGCAACCCGCGGCCCGCAGGCCGCATGTGGCCGGTGGACCTGCTTCTTGGGACTCGGTAATACACAATGGGATAACAGATACGTTTCTTTGCAGCCGAAGGCCCATCACAATTTTGGCCATCCCTTAGTAATATGAATATACTGAGTCCTTTCACTTCTAAATTTTCTTCGCGTGGGCGGTGCTACTTATGCCCCAAGGAAGAAGATTCTTAATGCCAAAGGCAATTTTTGGACGTTGGAATTTCCTAGGGGTGGGGAGGAGGTAAGGATCATCGGCCAATCAGCGCGACCTGATGGCCTAATGTTCCCTGTGGAAAAAAGAGGGGAGCCTCATCTTTTGCATTCTGTGGCTCGCGTCAAGAGTCACACATTTCCATACGGCCCACTGCCGATAAAGGTTGCACACCCCTGAGTGTGTGTATGTAGCGGCAGGGAGGGGAGAAGAGTTGAAAGGGGACCCTAACGTGAATATCGCCCTATGTCTCGCAATTTATTTTGGCAACCCTGACTATGTTACACGCTTAGCCTAGGCTTAGCCTAGTCCAGAAATGTCAAACTTGACCAAGCTGGCAGCCGGATGGAACCCTTCAAATGTGGTTGAGCCTACTTTCACATATCTTGCACCAAAGATTCAATTGTCGACAAGTGGAAATAGTCTACTCTTATTAAAAACCAACCGTGGATGAGGGCTTTCCTGGCCGGACGAGAGAAAATAATTGGCCGGCAATTTTATCACCATGGCCTCGACCGACCTGAACTTCGTGGAAGTCTTCCACAGGTCATTCTCGAAAATGGGATGGATGTGGTGCTGCTTTATGTCGTTGAGAGGGCCGAT